TATATATATATATATATATATTAAAACAAAGACAAGGGTTCCATAATGCACCTAAAGATACAAAATCATGCACTAGTTACAATTCTCAGGTATGGGATCTGCATTGTATCCTCTTTAAGCAGGCAAGCAAGGAAGCAGAGGGTTTGTTGGATACAATGATTTTCTGTGAAGTAGCTCCCTCCATAGCCAGAAAGTTGGCAGGTCTGTTTCCCTCTCTAAAGATAAAAGAGAATTCCACCTTTGTCTCTTAACACAGCTGTTTCAGTTTGATTAGCCACTGTTGGATGTGCCATGGGGGAACTTCCCTTTCAGTCATATATTCCCCTAGTTGGGAGGAATCCATTTCAGCAATTAACTGTTTCCACTTATTCATTATAGAAATTTTGATAGCCCAATAAAGAGCAAAAGTCTCAGCCTCTATAGCATCTTTTGCATGTTAGGTGCTTGAAAACTAAGAAAACATTTGCCATTGTGGTCTCTGAACACTCCACCAATGTCTGCCTTGTTGGTGGAGAAGCCGCCATCTGTGTTTACCTTGATGAAGGTGTGTTCTGGATTCTCCCAAATCACCTTAATGATCTTGTAGCTTATCTACTCTCAGTTCTGCTGATATGCAGGATGTTATGTAGGTTTTTCCATTGTATCAATTTTCTAATGTAAGGTAGACAATTTAACACTACCTTACTAGTGTTTACCTCCATATTCTCATGTTTAATCTGATTTCTGGCAGTGCATATGAACCAAGTGATTGTTAGAGGGATGGAACTTAAATTCAGCTTATTTCATTCTGTCATGCTCTCTTCAAGGGTCCTCCAACCTAAATTTTTTGTTTTGACATGAAATTGAGGTTGCAGTGAACTTCAAACCTTTCTGGAAAAACTACAGTTGAAGAACAAGTGGTTTAGAGATTCCATATCATTCTTGCATAGTAGGCACATAGAAGGACCTTTCAGTCCTTTTAATTTCAATATGTCATCAGTACGTATCAAATTATTCATAACTCTCCAAGCAAAAAAGGACATGGATGGGTTTAAGTATTTGTTCCACAACAAATCACTTCCAGGCCTAGCGTCCCACTGGTAAAGCTTTTTATAAAAGGCTTTGGCTATGCTTTGATTTGAATTGGAGATGATGGCCACCTTATCTCTTTTTGACCTATCAAATTGTACTGTGGTAATTAAACCCACAGAGTTTATTAGCAAAAGAGGGTTCTATTAGATTTCAAAAAGAATTTACAAAGTCTAAGATGGGGGGCTTTGAAATTGTCCCCTTGAAGTAAAAAAGCAAGAGAAGGGGAAGGGTACTCTGATACTAAAACCATTTGAGATTGAGCTCCACTAATAGCTAAGAAATGTGCTAGTCTGTTTTCTTCTCTGTAGATAAAAGAGAAAAAACCCTTGTCTCCACCATTAACAGCTGTATCTGGATAATCCACTACTGTATGTGCCAATGGGGAGTGTGTTTACCTGTCATGTGTTCCACAAGCTGAAGGGAGTCCACTTCTATTGTAGAGGAGTCCATTTGTTCATAACAGCTAGCATGAGTGCCCAAAAAAGAGCAAAAATTTCAGCTTCCTTGACATCCTCTGCCATAATGGGTGATTGGAAATGTAGTAAACACATCCCTCTGTGGTCCTTGAAGACTCCTCCAAGGTCAGCTGACAACGACTTTATATATGCTTAAAAATATAAGTAATTAATATTGCTGCTAAAAGATTTAATTCCTCAGCAACTGTACCAAAACTTAATAACAAAAAACTTGACAACGGTTATAGATTT